CCCAAAATAATATGTTTAGGTGACGTCGGCAGCCTGACAGATAAATTAATTTTTTTCTTAATTATCTTTCCGTCGATGGGATGTATAGTTTATTCAACCAAGCCGAAAAGCAGGGTATTTTTTTGTCGGGAATAGAACGAAAAAGAAAATTTTAGAATAACACGACAAACTATATTTAAGAAATACCCGTTTCTAAGTATAATCGATTCATTCGAAGATAGGACCATGGAAATCTTATTAAAGGAAAGTGGCAGGCTTTCGAGCACTTTCACAGAGTGCAAATATTTGAGCCGTCAAAACGAATCATATAAGTAAACTATTCCTCGTGTTTATTGCGACACCTCTAACCTCAGTACACACTACAGTGACTTGCAGCTTAAGGGGAGGAGATTATTATCTCCAGGCGGTCTTAACTTTTCATGCCTTCTAACTGTCTCCCTAATGGCTATACACTTGGTTCGACCTTAGATGTAGCCGTAGCCGACGCTCCGAGCTGATTAGACCAATCAGACAGCATCAAAAGCTAAGAATCACGGCGTTCTTCGAGTTTTGGCATGTGGTTTATAATAAATGAATCAATAAAAATAATGCTTTTTGACTTGTTCTTTTATCGCAGCTCGATTTGTCTCGTCAGCCTGTACCGTAGGCTGCGCCTGGACTTAAGCTGAAAAGAAGCATAGGGGTTTAGTCTCACTTCCTGCGGAGCAAGAGGAGATCCTCGCAAGTTGCTACGCCCTGCGGTTATTTGAACTCTCAGTTAATATAACTTGCAAATTACTAATCAAACCTACTTCCACAAAAATAAAGAGCTGCGTTATTGTTAATCTTAATCAAATGTTATAGAATAAAAAAAAATGCAAAACACGTTACGGTTGATATTAGAGCGACTTTTATATTTCCGAGTGTTTTGTTAAACAATTTGAACATCATTGAATAAAGAGCTTTTGTTAACCTGGGGTTTTACCGAAATATATCTACCTATACTACCTATCGAATTTTAAGATTGCTGTCCCATTGAAACTTTTTATGCTCTTATTTGTAGGCACATTTTAAGCGCCAGCTATGGTACCATTACTGGCGAAAAACGAACCGAGCTGGAAATTTCTTTCGTTGACTTCAAACACTTGAAACAATGCGATGTTCGATCGAAACGAGTTAATTGGCACAGTTGTCTATACACATCAATGAGTTGTAGAAGAGATTTCTGAAGATTGATTTTCTTCAATACGCCGAGGTATTTTTGGGTTTGCAGAAGTTAAATTCCATCAGCATTTAGTTGAGAACCGCTGTCTCGACAAAGGCGTAAACAAAAAGGAATGGCTCGCTAAGTGAAGTAGTCTTGTGGAACAGGCTTATCTCTGGTGAGCGTCGATTCAATTTGTCGGTTTGGCGCTCTGTGAGCAACAAATCGAATTTTTTTGCGATGTCAGCAGAGTGGTTGGTTACGCCACTTGGCTCAACATGAAGACTAAGCGAAAGTGAAAAGGAAATCAGGGACAAAGATAGGCTCAGACTTGTACGTAATCCGCTAGACGTAAACAATTTGCTTGTAAGCCCTAGCATTTTTCAGTAATTTTGCAACGAAATAATTACATGTTTGCTAGAGTAACTATTAAGTAATTTCTCTGCATACGGCCAAGTGGTAAATTCATACATATCTTTTTCGCGAACACCCCCCCCCCCCCTTTACTTAAAAAAAATGAGTGTGCTGATATTGGTAACGTTGACTGCTGCCACACTGTGACAACCATTAACAAGCGAAAAAACAGGTTTGGCACTCTTTTGTTCTCCAAAACCTTTCTTTACAACGCCGCGCCCCTAAAGCTTCTTTTTCTTCAGAACCTTGAAACAAAGCCAGCATATTCAAATGAGCACTCCGAACAAAAGTAGAAGTGTCGGTAAGCTATTGATGCTTTGTTTCCTTCTTTTTTTTTTGCATTTGAAGACGGGGAGAAGAGGACACCAAGTGATGGTGTGCTTCTTTGACAAGTTCGGGGCAGTGAGCTTCTTCGCAAGATTTATCAAATGCCTGTTTAGTTATAGTTACTACTATCTGATTCCTAATGCCACAACAGGATGGGACGCTCCGTTTATCCTAAAATGCACAAACATTTATGTTATAATAAGTGAAATTGTTATAGACAAATTCATTCTCGTTCATTGCTGCACGAAAGATATAAGAGCACTTATCATCGTTTATTAGGGAACAATATGTAAGTTTTGCTTCTTATCACCTTGTTCGGGAAAGCTTTAGAAGCTACTTACTTTCTTTGTAGTACGACTTCTAGGGGTGGCCCGCTTTATTTCTGAATTCCAGCCTGGCTATCTGCCCCTCATTCAACTCTTGTGCGGCAGCTTTTTGCGAGCACCTTGGAAGTGGCTTCGGTATTTTTCTTTTCTCTCCTCTTTTTACTCCAGCAGGACACATCTTAGCTGAAACACAGATTACTACTAGTAACTCAAACGGAGAGCTGACATAGGTTAGAGATTTCGGGCTTGAGTGAAACTCGTGAGTGTGACTTAGCTTGGGGCCCTTCCCTGCCCTTAACCTCAGCGGATGTCTATCTGGAAAACACTGGAGTACACTACTGCTGGCCCGCGCTCTATGCGTTTTTCTTAATGGCATCAAGAAAGGCACGCACGGCAAACGTGCGTTTACATTGCTTTGTTTTAACCGACTTTCCAATCAATTTTTTAGGCTTTGTATCTTATTGGCGTATTATATTTCTTTATTACGTATATTTATATCAAACAAGTTATTCTGCTATTGACAAACGTCTCAACCGAGGTTTGACCTGTCCAGAGCCAGAGAAAAGATAATTTAGATACACACAGTATTTAAAATTTATTCCATGTTTGGGCAGTTGTATGATGGCTTCTGCGGCTTCGCGATTCCAACAGTGTCAGGCACCGGCAGGCGGCAACAACGACGAAACTTTCCTACGCCATCAGGCTAAAGAGCACTTCCATCGCTTCGCTGGAGGAGCTCAATGCACTGCATTAGGCATTCATGAGGAACAGTATGGAACTCCCATCCGGTGCCTTAGTTGAAAGGGTGTTCAGCGTAGTAGTCGTCATCTTCGCGAAAAACTGAGGCAGGATGTCTGACGAGACTTTCGAGGGTCAGCTGTTGCTCAAAACATTCTCTGTGAATAATAACGACTGATGACAATACTAAACACCTGAATAAACATCTTCCCTTTGTCTCTTACTTGATGTAAATATTGTTCTAGGTAACGCCAAGAAAGTAAGAGATTGCGATTTTTATGGTGATGGCCAGTAACTTTTATAAAAGGGCAGTTCTTATTGTAATTAACTAGAATTTAGCCAGGTGTAATTGTAAATGTAATTCCTTACGTTTTTTAGCAACGCGTAAAACTCTAAATACGCAACGCGACACAAGATGATCCAAAAGTATCTCATCAGCATTATGTCGGGGCCAAATCAGACGAGCAAATATTCAAGCATTCTTTCTTCTGGCCGATATACGCTAGCCCAATTGGTAGTTGAATTCAGTCACGGCTCCTATGGAGCATTCAGGAGTTTTGGATTCAGCGTTTTTTTGCTACGAGGGACTATTGTCGGCTGAGGGCGATATATCTGCAGCCGTGACATATTATGAGGAGCTGAAGTTAGAACATAAACATAAAAGTTTTGTACAACGCCCTTAGATAGTGATGGGCAGATCTAAGCTTATGTGTCCCAAGGGATGGTTTTTGTGTCCTCTGAATGTTTTGAGCGACCTTCCCCATACAACTAATGTGCAGTGTGCTGCTGAACTCTGCAGGGGATGAAGCCCAGAGAGGAAACTCGAGTAGCCTTTTGCCCTATCTTCAGAAATGTTTCTCTAGAACGTTTGGTAATTGTCGTTGCCGTGTTCTTTGCAGACACTCCCCAGTTTGTAAGCGCACTATCTGCCCTGCAGAGCTGTTTTGTACCTTGTGCCTGCAGACGTCTCAAAATAGGCCAAGAGACACTTTCTTGTATCATCCCTTTTAACTCACCGAGAATTCGCCGAAGGCATTTGGCTGTGCAGCCTGCTTCTGTCCCTGCATCTGTCCCCACATATCAATCTCAAGATTGATATGTGGCAAGTTTCTAACACGCGTCGCGACATATTTGAAGCACATAACCTTATATAGGCAGTCCCATATCTGTTGTTTCTTGTGTGTAGCTTTATCGGTGTTCTAGCATTTGTTTTAATATTGAGTGGTGTACAGCGATTATGATAAGCACTATATTGTTGTGCTAATGAATTAGTAAATGCCCATATTATTTCTTTATAATAAAAAACTTCATTTTCAGTTTACTCAATTATTCGACAAAATTAATAAAGATCTTCCGAATAAATATTCATTTCACTGGCACTTCGCGGTGTATCACTTGTCCTCTGGACATGTGATGGGTTCCAGTTTTGAAACAACACCGACGTTCTATTTGTATATATTAGCCTTCACTATGCATTGTCTATTAACATCAGGGGGCTCACTGTTTATTGTCTGAACACATTTCATTTTAACATCACATTGCAATTTTTGAAGCAGTAAAGATGAAAGCAAGCAAAAGTCGAGATTTCCGTAGCCCGACCTTTACGTTTCAACGCCTGTATTAGGCGCGATTTGAAACCGGTTTGTATTGTGGCACAATTTCTTTTACCGTTTCGAATTCGCAGAGGCTTTATGTAATAATTTGTCACGAAAAACATCATTAAGACGACACATAAAATATGAAAAGCGAAATGCTGCGGTTCCGAGGAGCTGTTGTGAGCCCAGTATTGTTATCTTAAAAATGTGCGACAGAGAATAGGCTGAATGTCACTTCTCGAGACCTCAACAGGTTTTTACTTTGAAACGTTCAGCTCTGCAAGATTTGAAAAAGAAGTGACGACGTCGTAAAAAGGCACCCGTTCGATCTAGATCGCGAGGAAATCACAGGTACCGCCCTTTCACCTTCCTTGTTTTTGTGTTTTTCCCGCAAGCTCTCCCCAGCTCTCTTCTCACCTTTGAGCGAGGGCAGCGGGTGCTGACACGAGCCACAGCAACCACACGATCCCCATCAGTCTTGGGTGGCAGGGAACGGCCAGACAGGCTGCCATGAGCGCGAGCACGTGATCAAGCTTGACGAGTCGCCGAAAAACGTGGACCCGGCTGGAACATAGTCGGGGAATGAGGCTCCCGCTCTTCCCGGCGTCGATGCCGACACCGCACCGGCGGCTCGCGTTCCCCCCTCCCCCCACCGCGCATGCGTCCTGAAGGGAAACTGTAGGAGAGGAGGAGAAGGGACTGGCGGTATTTCTTCCTCCCTCCCTTCCTGTCTTTTCCCTTTTCTTTTTTTGTAGGGAGATGTGTGTTTCTTTTGTGTGTGTGTGTGTGTGTGTGTGTGTTTCACCGGCGGTTCGAAGGCAGCCCAGAAGAAAAACAAAGAGAATACTGAGTGGGCGGGTGAAGATGAAACAGGAAAGGGCTGCTTGGTAGACACGAAAGGGTTGCCTCGACAGAATAATGAGGATAGTTCACAGATTGCTTCGGGAATTCGTGCGCGTTCTTGTTCGCCGTGAGCGCCGTCCACCGCGTTACGGGGAGGCAGTTCAGAGTCCCGGTACCGTCGAGGGTTCTCTAAAAAAACACCAGCGCCGGACACGGTTTTAAAACATGTATTCACGAAGCGGAGGACGTAAAACTAGCGCCGTGAATCCGACGGTGCGTCTCGGTTCATGTCCGCCGCCCCTTATATGGAAATTGAATGGTAGTTTGTAACACAGTTTGTTCTTGTTCGGCCTATATGTTTTGAGCCGGGTGAGGAGTACCTCGTAAATTGATAATTGGAACGAAAATTGACTGCAATAATTTTTTTATCTTAAAGAATTTCTACGTGCGTGCATATATACCTGTTTTTTTTTTTGGCGCATCCACTTGCTTGTGCATATGTGTGCGTCCGTGTTTGCATGTGTGAGCTCGTTTGTCGATATGCGAGAACGCGAGCGTGCGTGTGCTTGTGTTTTTGCGTGTGAGTGTGTGCGTGCGTTGGCGGGTGACGAAGATATATTATCAGCCATGATTTAGTTTAATGATATCGTTTTGTTTTATGCTTCACAGACATCTTTTTGAATCAAGCACACTTAACGGTGTTTGGTTTTTCTCATTTCTATGCAAAATTTATTTTTACATGTTAAACAAGCCGTCGCAAGGTAGGGATTATATTCAGCTTCATTGGCAACTAAAATAATTGGGTTTGAGAGGAATATATATTATCTCCGGATAACTTATTCAAGCGCACTGGGAATACAACCTTTTTTTACCGCTCCCCATTGTCCCATCATTCTTTTATGCAAGTTAGATATTCAAAAGCCTACGAAGCGAAACACAATAGGCGTAATTTGATTGGAACTATAATCTTGCCTCGCTTTTGAAAACCCAGAACAGAAGAACTACAAAGATTCCGAGCGTCTTGAACGGAAAAAATACCCATTTAGTATATCCTGCTAAATCAGACAGAAGGAAGTATTGGACGAGAACCATTGTATACATCGTAAAGAAAGGAAATATACGTTCCTTGCCTTTCAATATGCTCCACAAGCTGGAGATTGGGTTGCCTTATGTATAAGATATACTTTAGCATTTATACGAAAAATCCAGACGACAAAACATGCTTCAGCTAAATATCACCCGATACTGATGGGAAATTTTACTTTGTTATAATTCTACTTTCTAGTAGTCAAACGCTAAAGGACAATTTTCGCACTAGCCTATATATATATATATATATATGAAATATATATATATATATATAAAGCTATTTCGCAGAAGCCTTTCGGCGGTGTATCAGTTGTTTTATATTTTTCTCCTTCTATTGATGAGAACGCGCAACTAATGACCACTATCGAAGTAAAACTATTGAGCCAGGCGAGGGCATATCTTTATGTTCGATGAACATCGAGCAATTGTAACATGCCTCCTCAGGCGAATACCTCTATGGCATACCCCTCTTGGATATATCGTACGAACACATGCCTAAAGTAATAGGATAGAGCTCATTAGGTTTTGTAATGTCAATATATTTCAACGAAGCTCATTGTTCCTTTCTTTTCATTCTATCATAGGGTATTCTTTAAGCAAGCATTCTTAGAACCGAATCAACGCGTGGCTGCAGAGGCGCACCCAAACATGAACCTTAGCGGTATTATTCCGAATATAAATGTTTTGTTGCGGACGCAAACGTAATCGAGACGACTGTAAATTACATCGATGAATTGCGTCTGGGCACTATTGAATTATGGATACCGTGAAAACATCATCAAAATTTAGATAGTTAACCACGGAGAGCGAGAAAATGTGTTTTGATGAGATTCACACGGCATAATCGAATGCCCGATGAAATACAATAAAAATATTCCATTCGTTCCAATAAGAACAGTGGCAAGTCTGTGATTTGACATGTGTGATCAGTGTTGTAGTATACGAAATAATGACAATGTGCGTGCTTAGAACGAATGAAAATGAAAAGAAAACAAATCTTTTTCACTTTTAAGTATTTAGAGATCTATCATTTAGAGCCGACGAAAGTCAGAAAAAATCTTGAATCGGACGCCGAGTTTGTTTGCGCACCGCACCGTGGAGCGAGAGTTCGCAATACAGAACAGAAGTATACTGGGTAAATCACCACCCCCGCCGGTTTCGATCTGGATGAGCATCGTACCGGCGTGTGGTCGTGAATCACTCCTGCGTGGTGCACGTTAAAGGCGTCAGGCTAGCGGTTGTTCTCCACCGGCTAAATTTATAATCTACAGCTGGGACACCAGACTCCCAATAAGCCCAACTCTCGGTCGTATAAACATACACACAACATAATTTGAATTAGTACACTTGAATAAACGAATTTAATAAGTCTGATGTCGTAACAAATAGTATAAGATTATAACATTTGGTGTTATGTATTGATACCTTATGATTGGCTTTGAAATCCGATAATGCTGAGTTCCAACTAGGTATGTCTATCGTTGTTATTGCTCTTCAGATTTCTACAACTTCAGTGTAGCAGGCGATTTTCGACATAGACAAACTATGTGAACGGCACAAATGCAAGTGCAGTAAGCGTTTTTAGTAAATATTTTCCGCTCTTTTATGACAAGTACCGCAATCAAAAGAAAGACTTTAATGTACCAAGTCTAAGTTCAATATTCAGCACAAAAGACAATCTTCTCAGTCTTGCTTTCTTCTTTTCAGATAGAGTAGCTTAATAATGAAGGAGTAACGAAGAAAGGAGGTCATGCTCCTAACAAAGGCTCGTCAAAAAAAAAAAAGGAGGCATTTTCACCTTGAATTCGGTGGTATCACGCTACAAATAATTACGGGCGCAAATCAGACACCAGATCTGCCTCCGGTATTTGTTGGGACCCGGACCCTATCAGCTGTTTTGCGGCGTAGTAATCTGATGACGTTCGATCGCAAGCTTGCTTGTACTCTGCCCTTAGGACGACATTGACGTGAAAAACCCGTGCTCTTTGTACTAATCCTACGTCCACATCTTGCCACGTGATCAAGCTCCCACCCATATTCAAGCAAGAAAGAAGGGTCCCATGATAGGAAGAACGTAATCAATTCGTCCTGCAAGCGCGTAGTGTTCACTGCATTGCCAGCAGAGGGATGAAGGGAAAATAGTCTTGGCGGTGTTTGCTTGTTCGCTTTCTGAGCTCGGAGAGGATTGTGCCAGATTCTTGAGGGCGGACAAAGGGATAAAGGGTACAGATGCAGAAAACCAAAAAACGCGCTAAAAAAAAAGGCTATGTAGGCCGAAGTTACATTAAATTTACAAAACGACGTGACTGGTCAAGACTTAAAATTCCGTTGATACTGTGATATATCCTACGCTTATTCTTTAAATAAATAGTCTGAAGAATGTTTTCGCCCAGAAAAAGATAAATTGAGCAAGAATTCGTATACTACGAAGGAGTGGGCACTTGCATCTGCCGGCTTCGCTTTAGTGGTCAGGTTTAGTAATCAATACCTTGGGTAGAAATATGAGGAAACATATGAAACGTTTTAGTGATATATTTGTTATGGGTATTTTTATCAATTTTCATACACGGCATCTTGGGGGGTTGTCTGCGTAATTTGAAAGCCGGCATTTTGAAAATATAGAAGTTATAAATATGACATTTTGATTGATTCTCATCTTATCACACGAATATACAATTACGTTTATGCAAATTTTTGTATTTACTATCGTTGCCGAGATATTAGCACGCTAACACGTTCTAAACATCAGAACGACACACATTTCTGATGTTGATTAGTGCACCAACCAAAGCAAATATATATTTATATTGATCGATATCACTTATTCTCCTCCTGCATCTTACACTTAAATTATTTATACTAGATATTGTTCAGAAAAATGTACATGCCATAGAGTAAACTTAGAAATTCCCGCCGGTCACAAGAGGCACAATCTTATTTAATTTTTTTTGTTCTCTAATGCAACCTACTCTATGTACGATTTCACAGCTTTTAGGTATAATCCATTTATTTATCTATGATTGGTATTAAGAATACAATAATTTAAAAAAGAATCATGTTTTGTGTGTATTAGAAAATAGCCCGACCTCTTTATGAACAATGCCTGCGAGTGTATATTTTGCAACGCTCGTGAAGAGAATATCTTCACGATTTACGGAAGAGGCCAGAAGAATGTCAAGGCACCAATTACGATGGTCGAGATAAAAGAATATAGACATTGAAAAGAACGTTTTTGCTCTGTTAAAAACCACTTCGACGCGGATTTGCTGAGGTCAGTTCTGCCCCCCACAGTGCAGCCTCAAATTTGCATATTAAAGTGCTTTGGCCAGAATCGCTTCGGACTCCTGGCTGTAAACTCTGCGTTTACAGGAAGTGGAACCCAAGTGTGTGTCCAAGTAAACTTTTCAAGCATGACGCTCTGCAACGTTAACGGAGGAACTCCTGGCAGCGGACTAAACAGGAATCAACAGAATCCCAGTCTGCGTATAACAAAACATCTCAAAAGTTTGAGTTGGAAAGAAAAAAAATGAAAGACGTTCGCTACCTTCTCTAATGCGAAATTACAGCGCAGCTCTTGAGGAGGAGAAGGGTATGGTTCGGAGAGAAAGGCATGCCCTCCTTCTCCTCCGTAGCCTCTCCTTCTCCTCGCATTTCTCCTCGCCCTCCTGTCCTTCTTCTCCTCTCATTCTCCTCCCTTCCTCCTCCATCTCCTCCTCCCCCTT